TCTATGTCGCTTTATCTAGGGTTACTTCTAAAAAAGGTTTGAAAATTCTTATCCTGGACAAAGAAGGTAAGATTCAAAAGCAAACAACAAACGTTGTTTTCAAAGAGGTTTTCCAGAATATCGATTGATAATTCTGCGGCAATGAAATTTCAAACAGGATTATCATAAAAGGTATGTTTACTTTACCTTGGGATCAATATGTTTGCTTTATGGTTAGCAAAACCCACACTTATTTGGACTTATATTTCACTTGCAATCTATTTACCATTTTCTAACATATTGATTATCATCAAATTGAGAGAATAAAGGTTTTAAGTCTATGATTAAGAAAGTAGGAGCTAATTGTTACGATTTGTTTTACTTCCTTAAACTCTCAGATTTTGTGTTGTTCAGTGTCAACAGTTATATATATCTAATTAACATGCATCAACAAACAACCATTAAGTAACAATTATAGAATTTCCTCTTCAATCTACTTAACATTTCATAAACTTCTATATCCAAAACGGAACTAAGTTAACTACCAATTACATCATACTAAAAACTAACCTCAATATATTGTTAGAACATATCGCAGCTTCTCTTGAGCAATGATCCCATATCTTCATATAAAATATTCACACTGTTAGAAATCAGACAAATTCATTGAAGTCTTATTCAACGTTTACAGATTCAACCAAAAAACGTGATCAGTTGACACCAACAAAGTGCCAATACTAATGAAGCAAGTAAGAAGAACATAGATACCTCAGGAACAATCCTGTTCAAGAAAGTCTCAGTATCAGCCTGAACATCTGGATCATAATTCTCATTGATTGTCAAAGAAGCACTCGTGTGTTGCACTGAAACCAAAAAAAAAACATTTACTTAATCAAAAATTCCAAAAAAAAAAAAAAAGAGAAGAAACAGAGTAAGAAAGAAAACTCACAGAAGACATGAGCAAGACCACAATTGAAATCTGACAAGTCTTGCCCAATTTCCTTACGACCAGAATTCAAAACAAAACAAAACCTCAGAAACCCAAATTGAATTCACAAACCAATCAAATAAACAGCTGAAAAAAGCTCATAAATTGAGTCAATTCAGAAATCGCTTCGAATTTAAACAAAAGCATCTACACGAAAGATGAAACCTTTGGAGTAATAAGATGACATCCACGACGTAGCGGCGGAAGTGTGAAGGTTTTCTGAGCCCGCGGAGAATTCAACCAAATTCATTGAAATCAGACAAATTCATTGAAGTCTTATTCAACGTTTACAGATTCAGATATGGTAGAAAACATGGCATGACAAACATTTGAATCGCAAACATCAGATTAGATCTTCAAATATATAATTTGCTGTCTACGCACACATGTTCCAATTTACAAAATATCGAAAAACTAACAACTTTTGTTGATCGAAAATGAAGAAATCGATGATATATGTTATAATTCTGGAATTAGATTAACTTACATGTTTATTTTTCGAAAGGAAATTGTCTTGTAGAACTCGATCATCCGATGCAGCTACAAATTAAATGTCAACTTGAATGATGAATTGGTTTTTAATTTCTGAAATTGGTTAGGAAATGGTGATTGAAGAAGCTCAATCAGTCGGTGGAGAAGATGCTCAACGACACGCAATTGTCATTTTTTTTTTCCATCCAATTGTTTTTTTTTCCTTCCCTGGAATATATTGGGCTGCACTCTATTTTCAGTATATGGGCTTCAGTTAAAATTGTTGGGCTTCTAATGTATTTGAGATTTTGCTTTTTATTATATAGTTAATTTGTGTATTTAATATTTTAATTATGGTTTTACTATTAAAATTAGATGATATAAACTTATTTATATGATCTTATATAAAACAAAATTGGTATATTTTCATACATATATATATATATGTCTATATTTCCAATCTATAAAACACAAAACAATAAATTTATATAAATCTAATATTTCGAAATTATATTAAGTAAATAATTTTAATGTGTCCTAATACTTTTAACAGAAATAACCATATTTAATTACATATTCTTTGTTTATACTGTATCAACTAAAAATATTCATTACTGACGGTTGACCGAATTATACTGTTTATATAAAAGATGTTAACTTATGTACGCCATGAGGTTATTATACCTATTAATATAATAAACTTACAACTGACAAGAAATCATCACAAACGTTCTAATAAATTATCTAACAACACAAAAACATAAAAAATTAGACACCAACAAAACTTAATTTAATAAAAAAAGTCAATTAATATAATATTAAACCCGCGGTATACCGCGGGTCATATCCTAGTATATTACTCAAATGTGAATTTTTGACCCGTTAAATGTTTTTCTTCATAGATTTAACAATTTATATTCGTTTTTAAAAATTCAAATCTTGGCATATGCAGAAAAAATTTACTTTTTTTTGTTATATGGATGACATGATGATTTATTTGTTTCATAAAAATAGAATCATATAAAGATGAGAGGTGAAGTATAATGATTAATAAAAAATTAATATGGTAAGTTAGATATCAAATCTTATATGTTCATTTTGATTGGTCATTCTTTTAAAAAAAATTAATTATAGATTTTCGTTTTTAATAATTAAATTAATTAAATTGCATAAATTAGTATTTGCAATTAATTATATGTTCATTTTGATTGGTCATTCTAAACAAGTCACTATTTTATGCAATTTAATTAATTTAATTTAATTAATTTAATTTAATTATAAAAACAAAAATCTATAATTATTTTTTTTTAAAAGAATGACCAATCAAAATGAACATATAAGATTTGATATCTAACTTACGATATTAATTTGTTATTAATCATTATACTTCACCTCTCATCTTTATATGATTCTATTTCTAGAAAAAAAAATCATTATATCATCTATATAATAAAAAAATAATAATTTTTTTTCCGCATATACCAAGATTTGAATTTTTTTAAAACGAATATAAATGGAAAAGTTGCGGAAAAGGGGAATTGATTGTGACACGAGTTGTGCCAGATGTGGCGCAGCAGAGGAAACGATCAATCATACACTCTTTCAGTGCCACCCGGCACGTCAGATTTGGGCGCTATCACAGATTCCTACGGCTATGGGGGTTTTCCCCACAGAATCTAATTTTACGAATTTGGATCACTTATTTTGGAGAATACCTATGGAAGTTGATTCATCAGCCTTCCCATGGATAATTTGGTATATTTGGAAATCAAGGAACGAAAAGATCTTTGAAAACATGGATACAGACCCATTAGAAGTATTACGATTAGCGGAAAAAGAGGCACAATTGTGGCAGTCCGCTAAAATTGAGCTCCATAATGAAAATCATGGTTCTGTACACTTGGTAAATCGAATTCGAGTGAGGGATGTTTCACTTGAGACGGAGTATTCGGGATACCGTTGTTTTGTAGATGGATCATGGAAAGAAAGTGATAAGTTCTCTGGTACGGGTTGGTTCTGTACATCGTCAAATGGAGAGCCGCCAACCATGGGAGCTGCGAACCTCCGTAGAAGTCTATCTCCACTACATGCCGAAGTCGAGGCCCTTCTCTGGGCGATGAAGTGTATGATTGGTGCAGATAATCAAGAGGTAGCGTTCTTTACAGACTGTTCAGACCTGGTGAAGATGGTGTCTTCTCCAACCGAATGGCCAGCGTTTTCAGTGTATTTGGAGGAATTTCAGAGCGACAAGAAGGAGTTTTCCTCTTTTTCTTTATCTTTAATTTCTCGTAGGGCTAATGTTAAGGCGGATAATCTGGCACGAAAAGTTCGTACAGAACCGCTTCATATCACTTATGTAAACAACATTCCTCAGGAATGACTCTTTTGAGCTCTAATTAATTTCGGATGACAAAAAAAAATATATATAATATATAAATTTTGTAATAAATAAAATTCAACCCGTACTGTAGAACGGATGATGATCTAGTTGGAATATAGACATTTAAAGCATATTTGGAAAGGAAAAAAAATTCGGTTGTCGGTTTTTTTGCCCAAGGCTACTTGAAATAACGACTCTAACAAGATAATAACAAATTTTCTTGTTAATTCAAATCAGATTTTATGGTCCGAGCATGGGAGTGGTGACTGTCCCGACCCAACATATATTAGAGCTCTTGGGCAAAAACCAAATTGAACAAATGGAAGAGTATTTGAACCAGGTTAGTCTTAACAGCACTGATATAATGTCTGAATCAAGAACCGAAAAGATTGTTATAGAAGAGCTTAGAGCTAGAGTTAAAGTGCTGGAGAAAGAAGTGGAGTTGCAGAGAAATATGATAACAGAAAGAGAGGATGAAAAAAAGAGAGGCTATACGACAGCTCCTCAATGGCCTTCTCAAATTTGGTTTTAAACTGTCAAGTTCGGACCACAAAAATGCCTCTTCCCTTGTTACTCCAATGGAAACATTGGGCTCCTTTAAGTCTGATATTTCTCCTTCTCAGGAGTTAGATTTGGAGTCAGGGACCTCTTCTTACTCATCTCTTAAGCACCAAGTGGTCTCACTAGGGAGGACAACGAGTAGCGATATGTTGCAGAGCTTGATGAAACCAAATGGTGAGGTTGAGAAGAACCTGTCTGCAATTTTGCTTGCTGATATGTTTTGTGCCGAGCTTGAAACCGCACGGAGAGATTTAGAAGCAAGAAACATTGACATTGAAACTGAGAAAAGTCATGTGCTTGACTTAGAAAGTAAGCTCTCACAAACGATGATAGCAGAGTTTCCAATAGCCACCACAATAAGGCATATAAGCGGGCAGAAAACGATGCGTAAGCAAACAAGGAAGAAGTAAAGAAACGTTTTAAAAACGATTCATTCCCACAAAACTAGTGAACAAGACTAGTAAAAGAACAAAAAAACACTCATGGAGTTTAGAATTAGTTTGATGCAAGTATTGAATCAATCCAAATGATGGCAAGCCAATCTCGTGTCAACATCATCGAATTCAAGTCTGAAACAAGAAGAAACTTTGATTGAGAAAAAAAAAAAAAAAAAAAAAACGAAAAAAGTAGGGGCATCAGGTCCGGTTTTGTTTGCAGCTTGTTCCCACGCTACACAAGCGTGGTCCCAATCAACGGATTGTTCAACCCTCGGGAAGAGGAACGGGACACATCATCTGCCGATTTTGATTGTTCCTAAAGCTTTCTAATATATAAACACAGATAATTGGAACCAACTTGTCGATGTGGGACAATTTTCATTTGCTTAACTATCCTAATGGGCTAACTATCTTAATGGGCCTATATCAAATTATGCTTAAAGAAACGGTTTTGTTTCAAATGGGTACTAGATTGTGCGGTTAGAAACATACCGAGTAATAAACCGGTGGAATTAGATTTGAATAAAACAAAAACCCCCGGTTTTAGGATTAAGAAAAAAAGAGAAAGAGATCAGAGATTGCTAGATAAGCCATTTGGAGACAAACCTGGGAAAGCAAGAACCTTCTGCTGGCATGTCAAGAAAATCGTTCATCATAAATTGAAACAGAAGCAACAACATAGCAGAGACCTAAGAAGAACGATGACTCCTGTGTTGCGACAAGAGAAACCGATTCAGTATCATCAGGCAGGATTCACATTTTCCTCCTAATCAAAAAAATAAAAAAAAAGGGTCATTGTTTAAGAACCTGATATGAGCACTACACCGCCATAAGCACCGACCACGGATGCTAGAACTGCTCCGGCAACAGCTAAAGGCCATCGATTGGGACACACACTGTTTCCAAGAAAGGACATGAAACAAACGGGTGCCACCCTTTGAACAATACCTGGGAAATCAACAAGAATTCCGAGAACCGCAACAATCACACCGCCTGGGATTTGAAGTAACCTGCAAAATATAAGTGCAAACGGTAAGAAAGCACTGTTGTATAATCGGCAAACACAATTTACTGAATTTTACTGCAGACCTTAGTTCATAATAGTGACGATCCGCACTAGATGTTCGAGTAAGAGAAAACTAGGACATCTTTAAAATCGCAGACAGCGGTGAAACTGCCTTGAACAGTGCTCCATGTTCCATCCTAAACGATTGAGTAATGTGGTTAAATGATATAATCTGCAATAACATAAAGAACGAGAAATGGAGAAAAACTTACATAAAAGCAGTGGAAAAGCGGATTAGACTTCCCACGATACCAACCACAATCCAGAGAATGGCGCCAAGAGGAACGCATAAACACATTCAAGAGCGGTCCTAACTGTTTAGCACTGAAATTCAAACAGAAACCCTTCATCAACCTAAATATCATTACACGATGACACGGACATAATCAGATAGTTGAACTTGCGTGTTCTACATAGACACCTGAAGAAGCACAAAAAGCCCTAAGCACCTTCCTCTAGAGGTCTTAAGTTCATTTCAGTATAGAGCTAAACTACACATAAAACTAAAGGAGCAAGATAACCTAAACGACCATACATAATGAAACAGATACAATCAGACCATTGAATTTGAGGTTCCGTACAAAAGACAGATGAAGAAGCACAAAGAGCCCTCAGCCTCATTCGCAAGGTTCTATCATCATCAAGCTTATCTTCCCTCAGAGATCTCTCCTCCATTTCAGTTGAACAAGGTAGGCTAAGCGACACTAAAACTAAAGGAGCAAGACAACCTAGATATCCTTACACGATGACACAGATACAATCAGACAGTAGAAGTTGCGGTTTTCAACAGAGACAGGTGAAGAAGCACAAAAGATCCCTTAGCACCTTTATTCAGGAAAACTCTAATCCATTTCAGTGAACAAAGAGCTAAGCCAACAAAATTCTCAAGCAAATCTCAAAGCAGAAGAAACACAATGAGTCCTTAGCACCTTCCTTCAGCTCTAAACACAATGTTTTAAAACGTTTCATTCCCACAAAACTAGTGAGCATAATCTCTAAAACATAACAAAGTTAAATGGATTAGGTGCAAAAAAAAAGGCAACTTTATGGAATTGAAGAGCCCTAAATTGATTAGAAATGCTAAATTCACTAACTTCGGAAGCAGTTTGATGAATAAATGAAACAATCCTAATGGAGCCATACACCAAAAATCAAGCAAAGCCAATCTCGTGTCAACATCATCGAATGACAAAATCGATAGAAAATGTTATCCGGACATCGAATTCAAGTCTGAAACAAGAAAGTTTGATCAAAGTAAACTGAAATTTGTTACCTTCAAGGACAACCCTGGAGCAGTAAGGAATGAAGAGTAAAAAAAAAAATTGAGATACTCGGGATTGTCACAGAACCGATTCTGGATCTTCAATCTCCAATTTCTCTAAACCGGTTTTGTTTCGGAGCTTGGACATAACACCCGAACCCGAACCCAAAATTTTAAAATACTTCAAAACTTCACAAGCCGAATCCGAACCCGAACATACGCGAAATATAAATACATCTATACTAGTACTTTTTGAAGTACATTTTTAGTGGGTGGGCAAAATGCATTTGGATACAATGGGTATCCGACCCGTTTACAAATTTTGGTCATAAAAAATCTGTTGAGTCGGGTTATATTTAACTCAACTCATACACCGGATATTCTATATTTAATAATTTAGATATTTAGAAAATTTGATTAAGATTTAGAATTATGATTCTCCTATCATTTTTGTTTGATTTGTTTTTAACTGTTTTGAATCATCATATAATACATAAACTGTGATTCGAAATTTACATAAACTGTGATTCCTGCATATATTGTGATTCAAAATTTATAAAAACGGATATATATTATCCAACTGACGAAAAATATGTGTTCAACATTCCACATCGACTAAAATATTTAAAGGATGATTCAGAATCATATAATAAATAAGATCAACATAAATAAAATAAATGATTTTTTTTTTGCGGGACGGATTTAGCCGGACAAGTTTTTGAATCAACAATAATAAAAAAAATTAAAATATCATTAATCCGACGCTTCAATACGGATTAAATCCTTAATTTTTTTCAATGCCACTTTTTCAATGCCACTTTTCAAAATACCCCTTTTTTAAAACCTTATAAAAAATGTTCTTAAAAATATAAGATTTACCCAAATATGTATGTAATATTATTAAAACATACACAAACTACATTTCTATGTATCTAAAATCTTATAAATATTTTATAAATACCTTATAAATGCATTTTAAATACCTTTAAAAACCTTTAAAATATCTTGTAAAACCTTAAAAATCCTTTAAAATAACTTGTAAAACCTTTAAAAACACCTTATAAATACTTGGATCGAGTTTTCAAGTAGTAGTTACAATCCATAAGTACCTTATAAACCTAATAAAATTTTATAAAATTTCAGATTTAAAAAGGGGCATTTTTGAAAATGAACATCTAAAAGGGGCATTTTTGAAAAGGGGCACACCAAAAGGAGTATTTTTAACAATTTCCCTTTTTTTAATACCACCAATATTAGACATATCAAATCACTCTCATTTAGAAAAGATTGTATAAAACCAAAAATTGTCTCGTGGTATAATGTTACTTAATAGCAATTGTAAACTATAAAATATAAATATCTTAGAGAATGATGCAATTTTCAAACTTTTATATATAATAAATAATTATTAAATTTTGAAAATTACTACTTTTAGAAAACAAATCATGAGACGGGTTAAGAAATTACATGACGGGTTATATTTCGGAACGGGGTTATATGGCGGACAAGTTTGAATAAATATTTATAAAATTTTAAAATATCATTAACATGCTGCTTTAATACAGATTAAATCCTTAGTTTAATAAAATATAAATATCTTAGAGAATGATACAATTTGTAAACATTTATATATAATAAATAATCATTAAATTTTAAAATCACTACTTTTAGAAAACAAATCACGGGACGGGTTAAGAAATTACGGACATGTTATATTTCGGAACGGATTTAATATCGTTAAAATGCCGCTTTAATACGGGTTAAATCATCAGTTTCTTAACAATTGTCCCGTAGACTCATGGTATACCGTTTCTTAATAACAATTATAAACTATAAAAATATAAATATTTTATAAGTAGATACAATTTTTAAACTTTAATATATACTAACTTAAAAAATAAATCATCTCGCGGGTTAAAATCTAGTAGTTATAATATATTATACTTGTAATAACCTAAGTGCCTAAATGATTCGGATGTTAAGATATTTTCGGGTGTTTTAGCTATTTTTGGCTAGATTCGGGTATAAAATACTTGGGTTTAATAGATTTTTTGAGTATTTTTCAATACTTTGCATAGAATCGGATACAAAATTTCTAATATTTGGATATTTTGAGTAAACCCAAAATACCCGATCCGAACTCAAAGTTTTAAAATATCCGAACGGATCCTAGTTTTCTAAACCTGAAAAATCCGAACCGGACCAGAATATCACAGAACCGATCTTCTTTATTTGCAATCTCCAATTTCTCTAAAACCCGGTTATAACCGGTTTCATCAAATGTTAAACCCCTTTCTCTGGCAAAACCCCTTTCTCTCGTCTTCTTCCTCGATTCATCTCTTTTTTTCTCTTCGCTCTCTCTCTCTGGGTTTGCGATGCTTTTGCTGTACGAAACGTTCTGGGGTTATGCCCTTCTGAGGGTGGTTGACGACGCGATTTTGGTTGATAATGTACATGCTTTGGCTACCCATTTTCAGTCCGCGGAAGCAGCAAACGAAGCAGTGGTTCTAGTGGCTTTTTATGAGTTTCCCAGCCAAATTCATGCTTTCGTAGAGCTCGAATCCATCAAAATGAGTCTTATGAGCCCTGCACTTCGTGGGTTCTTACTTGCTCACTGTCAAGTTGTTGGTGAAACCCTAGGCGTGGGTGACCCTGACCTTGGAGACAGGATCAGCTCTGATCTGGTTTGTTTCTTATTCACTTCCAACATTTAATCCCTGTCGTGTCTGTTGTATTGGGTAGTGTTTGTCTCTCATATGAAATTTGTCACCTCCAGCCTATTCCTTGTCTTCACAACATAGCTGTACATGAGCTGCTTAGAGGTGTTAGAAGTCAGTCCTCAGCACTCGTGGGTGACCCTCCTCGTATGGCTAGGGACAGGGCCTTGTCTCACAGGCTGGCTAGACAAGCAATGGGGATTGGTCTTGAACCTGACATGGTATCTTTAGCATTTAACTCATCCTGTGTTTGTGTTTTTTTTGTAGTTGCTTCTCTTGCATCTCCTAACTATCTAGTTTTTGTCAGATGGATGCCTTTATTCGCACAACTGTTGGTCTTTACGATGCTCTTGTCAAAGAACTGAATACCTATACGATGAGGCTTAGAGAATGGTATGGACCTCATTTTCCCGAGCTCTCTAGTATCGTACAACCCCAAATCCCATATGTCAAATCTGTTCTGTTGATGGGAGACAAGCTTAACGCTGCAAATCTAGACTTCTCCGAGGTAACTTTCATATTTTCAACTGTGTAGAGACTTCCGTTAACAAAAAACGCCCTGATTTTTGATCTTATATACTACTCCTTTCTCTGTAGTTCCTATCGCTTGATGATGAGCTGAGCCTGAAGGCAGCAGCTGTGCATTCACATGCACCACCTTTCAGTCAACTCGAGATGCTGCTGATCCAGAACTTCTGTCGAGATGTGGTTCTACCTCTTCATACCACCACAACTGCTCTTTTGGATAGCCTCAATGACCATATGCAAGCTTTTGCTCCCAATCTGACTGCTCTAGTTGGAGTGCCAATTGCTCCTCGCCTGATTTATCTTGGAGGTGGTTTATCGAAACTCTCCAAGATGCCTGCGAGCACACTTGAGACACTCGGAGCCAACGAAGCCACACCCAGGGATGGTCTTATCTACCGCTCACCTCTGGTTGATCTAGCACCTGAGCCTTACAAGAGAAAGTTCTCGCGAACATTAGCTGCTAAATGTGCTCTTGCCATTAGGATTGATGTTTTTGGTGCTGGCCAAGATAACGCTATGGGACTCCAATACAGAGATCTCCACCTTCAGACTAGGTTGGACCGTCTTCGTCAGGCATATAACAGAAGATACCTCGGTTTACCTGCTTAGTGAGAGGTTATTTCTTTCCTCTGAACTCTCTTTTACATTATGCTTTATCATTTTTTTCTTTCTTTTTCTTAACATTATACTCTTTCATTTTTCTTGTAGACTTTGAACCTGAATTCAACTTGCAAGGTATTCAAAGTTATGAGAGATCCAAGTATAATACCTAAGCCATCATCCGAGACTCCAAGTATCAAAACCAAACTGTTTCCTATGCTTTCCTTCTATCTATGTTTGAACTTTGACCCTTGCTGTTTGATGACACTTTTATGGAACTTGCATTTGTCTTCTCTCTCCTTTGAACTTGTTTATTGTGACAGTTTCAAGTACTTTGGATGTCAAGTTTAGTGAATTTGATGTTTAAGTTTGCTGTCGGATTCAGTTATTTTTGCTACATTCCGGGTATCATCGGGTTCAACATAACCCCAACCGAATGATACCTCTTGCGATTCTACACATAGTCATCGTGTTATAGCTCTCGCTCGTGTTCTTGCTTACCTTTTAAGACCTCTGACACACAACCTCAGTGTTATTGCAGATGTCATTGCCTTTTTGTTTTGTTTGTTCAAACCGATAGTTTCATTAGCTTGAATCAAAGGAGATGAAAACTTAACTCCAAGTTACAACAAACCATGATAATAATGAAACCCGCGAATGACGAAATGGAATCTATCTAAGCTGTATAACACTGAGAACACAATGGAGCACATTGATCGAGCCAAGCCATTGGAATTCCGTAGAAAGACCGCTGTTCAAGAATCATCTCGAGGAAGGAGGTCTAGTTTCGTTTTCTCCATCGCGTGGAGGAGAGATACTCTAAATGCCCATTTCGTTTTCTCCATCGCGTGGAGGAGAGCTACTCTAACTGCCCAAGCTGTGGCTGCCATAGCCGTTGGGAAATGTCTACACATCACATTGAAAGGTTGGAAGATAAGAGTCTGAAACTGCCATGTGACACCACCAGCCTAGTCTTCTTATTAACAATTGATCCTTGCATGCTGTGCCTTGATCTAAGATAGGTTGGATAACTTTGCTTTGCTTTGCTTCCCAAAGAAAACCTAGATCGGAGAAATCTTGAAATCGGAGACAAGACCCTGATCTGAGGCAGAGAGTCTTCACAATGCTTAGAACCAAAAGACGGTGAGAACTCCACAAAGAAGGAATTTGATGGTAATAAACACTCCATGATTGAACGTAAAGGAACATTCAATTTTGTAAACCAAATCAGTTCAAATGGTATACGGCTCTCTTACTTAGGTAATAGTGGCAGAGAGAAGTGATTCGACACCAAACCATTCAAAATTAAGCATATTTTAATGTACGTTCAGACTAAAACATAAGAAAAACCCCAGTAATATAAACAAGTTACATTGCATCACAAGTTAAAAACACCAAAGAGCTTCATCTTCTAGCAGTCGTCCCCGGAAGAGAAGGTAGTCTTCTTACCGCAGAATCCGTCGGATTTTTCCTTCTGTTGCTTCAGATTCGGTTCTCGTAGAAGGTTGTCTTCGTACCTGGAATATATCAAAAAACCCTTGTGATCTCTCCATTTATACGAAAAACTTCACCCAATTTGCTTTTGATAACAAAACTCTAAAGGCAAAACAGTAGTTAAAAATCCCTTACCAAAGCTTCTCTACAAGGTTGTACCTAATTAACAAAAAATGATGAAGTTACTCTTCTGTTATGACATCAAAACTACAGCAATAAGATAGAGAGAAACAAATCCCCATAACATGGAAAATCATTTTACTTGGGTTGGAGAGGGTATGGAGCTATCTCAGCCACGTCAAGAAAGATATGATGATAGCGCAAACTTTTACCATTCTTCTGTTCCAGAGCCTACAGTATAAAAAGATTTCATCAAAAAGTTTCATCATATAAGAATAATACACTATTTTTCATCATTGCCATAAAAACTACCCACCTTCTCTGCTTCATTAGCAGAAGCAAACTCAAAATAGCCACAGCCCACATGCTTACCCCTATGGTCAACAATAAGTCGAACACGAACAACTTCTCCAACATCTTTGAAGAAATACATGCTGTAAACATGGAGAGGATAAAATATCAGTCAATGAAAAACTTGCTCCAAGAACGAAAGAGGAAACTAAAGGTGCTTCTTACATCTTTGGTATATTAGTTTGAGGAGGGAGATTGGCAACAAAGAGCGTCTTTTTTCTTGCTTCCTGAATTTAGCAGCCAAGTGTGTTAGCATGGCTTTAAGGAGGAAAGGACTTAAATTGCATAACAACAAAAAGTAGATTCGTCCCCAGAATTAAGTTATCTTTTGGCTTTGTGGAAACAGTTTTGTTATCAAACACTTGAGCATTTCCTCTGAGCCTGACATATTTTGAAGATAATATGAACACGTACCTCAACGAAATAGGGAGTTTCAGCAAGTCCTTCCACTGCCCCATCTTCATCTATCTGAAGGCTTTCTTGTCGAAGGTAGTCTTCGTACCTGGAACATTAAACAACCCTTGTGATCTCTACATGTATACCAAAAACTTCACCCAATGTGCTCTTGATAACAAAACTCAAGATGCAAATAGTTAAAATTCCTTACCAAACCTTGTGATCTATGCACCACCTAGTTAAACAAATATAATAGTGTTAGTGTCCTGTGATGGTATGAAAACTCTGGCAATAAGTTGACAGAAACAAATCTCCATAACATGGAAAATTAATTTACTTGGGTGGAGGGAATGGAGCTATCTTAGCCGCTTCAAGAAAAATCTTGCCATCCTGCAAATATTCACCGTTCTTCTTCTCCAGCGCCTACAGTATAAAAGATTTAATCAAATAACTGCGACTTGTATATTTTTCATACATTACTTTTCAAATGACGGCTTAAAATACTCTACGTCATTACTATAAAAACTACTCTCACCTTCTCTGCTTCGTCATTAGAAGCAAACTCAACAAATCCCCAGCCCACATGCTTGCCATTGTGGTTGACAATAAGTCGAACATGAACAACTTGTCCAACATCTTTGAAGAAATTGATGCTATAAAAAAATGGAGGATAAAATATTAGTCATGAGAAACTTGCTCCAAGAACGAAAGAGGAAATCTTAAGGTGCTACTTACATATCTGATATTATAGTTTGGGGAGCAAGATGGGCAACAAAGAGCGTCTTTGTTTTTCTTGTGGCAACAGCCTGAGTTTAAAAGCCAAGTGAGTTAGCAAGACGCAAAGAAGAGAAGGACTTAAAGTTGCATAAAAAAAAAAACAAAAAGTAGCCTCATCTAAAGATTCACCCCCAACATAAGAATTCTGCTATTAAGCGTTTCTTCTGAGCCTGACATATTGTGAGGATAATAAGAAGAGGTACCTCAGCAAAATCGGGAGTTTCACCATGTCCTTTCATCAAAAAGATCTTATGATTGTGCAAATATTCACCATTCTTCTTTTCCAGCACCTACAGTATTAAAAAGATTTAATCAGCTATCCTACTTTCAAATAACTAGTTGTACGTTCTTCATCATAAGTTTGTATACGCTACTTTTCAAGTAAAATACATTTTTTTTTTTCATCATGACTACAAAACCAGTCTCACCTTATTTGCTTCGTTAGCAGAAAGAAACTCAACAAAGGCACAGCCCACATGCTTGCCCTCATGGTTTGCAATAAGTCGAGCACTGACAACTTCTCCAACATCTTTGCAGAAATCGAAGCTGTAAAAGTGGAGGATAAAATATCAGTGATATGGAAAACTTGCTCAGAGAAGAAAAGTGGGAGTTAAAAAAGGTGCTACTTACATATCTAATATCTTAGTTTGGGGAGAGAGATTGGCAACAAAGAGAACTTCCTGCATTTAACAGCCAAGTGTGTTAGCATGACTATTAAGGAGAGAAAATGACTGAAATTGCATAAAGAAGAAAAAGTGGCAAAAGATTCAGCCCCAGAGTATAAGTAATCTTTTGATCATTAAAAGATGAGCGTTTCTTCATATTTTGAAGATAATGAGGGCAGTAGGTACCTCAGCGAAATCGGGAGGTGTCTCATCTTCTCCTCGTCGAAGGCAGTCTTCGTACCTGTAAAATGGAAAACCCTAGTGAAACTTCACCCCGAGGTGGTCTGGATAACAAAAATGGAGAGGGGAAATAGTTAAAATCCCTTACCAAACCTTGTGATCTATGCAATGCCTAATTAATCAAAAATAAAAGCGTTAGTCTTCTGTGATATTGTATCAAAAACTCTAGCAATAAGTTACCAAACATGGAAAATCATTTTACTTAGGAAGAGGCAATGAAGAAGCTATCTTAGCAACATTGAGAATTATCTTGCGATGGAGCAAATATTCACCATTCTTCTTTTCCAGTGCCTAGAGTAAAGAAGATTTAATCAGCAATAGTACTCTTGGATACGTATACACATATAACTATATATACACAACTTTTCAAATGATAACTAGTGTCATCATTAGCCAAAAAAAAAAAAAAAACTAGTCTCACCTTTTTTGTTTCATTGGCAGAAGCAAATTCAACAAAGCCAGAGCCAGTACGCCCACCATCTCGTTTTATAGCAAGTCGAACATTAACAACTTCTCCAACATCTTTGAAGAAAGAGACGATATCTGATATTTTAGCTTTGTGAGGGATATGGGCCATAAAGAGCGTATTTTTTATTACGGCAGCTTCCTGAATTTAACAGCCAAGTAGTAGTTTGTGTTAGCATGAAGAAAAGGGCTTAAAAAATTGCATAAGAAGAGGTTGTAGGTACCTCAACAAAATCGGGAGTGTCATCAAGTCCTTCCACTGTTTCCTCCTCCTGTTAAGCGAGTAGCCATTGGAACACATTTTGGAGAACAAGATGCTTAATTGAACATAATAAAAAACTTGTACAATATTAAACCTTCAGTGAGATTAAATTAGCTTGATCAGACTTGTGCTGGAGACTATCAGCAAGTCCTTCCGTTGTCTTCTCCTGTTACATACATACACGAGTAGTAGGCATTAAAAAGACAAGTGTAAAGAAGATTCTTCTCAAAGAAGAAGAGTGATCCGACCATCTTAAGGTTACCTTCTCCTCCTTATGTTTCTTGAGAACCGGTTTGGTCTCCAAATCATCATCGTCCGGATTTCTCTTACCTAAAAGAAGAGCAGCAAAAGAAAAAAATATATTAAAATCAACAGCCAAGTATAAAAAACATTAGATAGGAGCTCAGAGCCACAGAAAACAAACCAAATAAATTAACTTCCTTGCTAGAACTGGCCATGGAGATGGAGATGGTGAAAACAGCGCCGATTTTGTTTTCCGGCAAGAGTTGAGAGCAGCAATGACTAAAGTTATACAAATAATAACCCTAGAGGTAGAAAGAAGGTATTCATAAAACAATAATCTTGTTTGGGCTAGGCTGGGCTTTTATTGGTTAGTGGGTTTATTATGTGCACCATTGACTATATGTTTTTTGCTTCTCTCGCCTAACTCCTTTATATAATAAGATACATACTTTTGTGATTTTTTTCCATGTTCACTTAAATAATTAGTCGATTTTGATTTCATTTTTCATTCATCTTCTCTTTACATATGCCTAAATTGTGTGTGTGTGTGTGTGTTTTTTTTTTTTTTACATAAACAAATCAACTGTACTTGAAATATCGATTCTAACAAGATAATAACATATTTTATTGCTAATTCAAATCAGATTTTAGCATGGGAGTGGTGACTGTCCCGACCCAACATATATTAGAGCTCTTGGGCAAAAACCAAATTGTTGGATTTTTTTTTTTTGTTTGTGTTACATTTAAATCTTTTTTTTGGGTAATTTTATTATTTTTTTGTCAACATTCTAGACTATTTTATAATTAAAGAAGAGCCGTTAAAAGTACAATTTAAAAAAAAAGATCACTTTTTTAGTCTCCTAGAACCTCTGTTTTAAACCTCAGTATAAGTTGAAGAATTTTGGAACCATAATTAATATTCAGGGAGGCAGTTTTTGAAGCAAACCTTGAATGGCCTGCAAAGCGTCATGGAAGAACATCCGGTATGCCTTCCGTGAGTTGGAACGGAGCAACATTAAGAGAGAGGCAACAGTTTCAAGTAATACTCCATGCCCATGACTGCGTGAAATGATTTACAAAAGAAAGCAGCATTAGAGCAAAAACTGTTGAAGAGTGACACCTACTAATCTGGTTGTGCAACACTTACACAAATTCAGGTTGTGCAAAGAAGGGAATAATACGAGCAATGACAGGGAGGATAGCGCAAGGGTTTCCGTGATAGAAGACTCCTGGAATGTTCCTTGCCGTGTGACCAACAAGCTTCAGAACAGCTGTAACTTCCCTCCCGTTGCCTGACAAAATTGGAGAGAAAATCGAAAAACCAATCCACCCTAGGTTCAATTCCAGCACAATCCAACAAGAGAGACAGTAATTACCGAGAGAAGGAACAACGTAGGTATTCAAAAGATTAGGGAAGACATCCCGAAATCGAATCTCTAGAGCATCTTCTTCGTCTCCGGAAGAGTGACGGAGGTTGTTAGCCGGAGTGGAGGCGGATGCGGCCACCCGTTCACGGAGTTCGTGAACCAAGCTCGACAGATTACTCTCCTTCGCCATTTCACAATCGCCCAAGCTACTACGCTCGCTCCAGTCCCTCCCAATTCTTTTGAAATAAAATAAAAATTAATCTATATCAATTAATAATATTTGTACTATATTATATCTTTCTTTAGGCATATACTTATCATTAACCATGTAAATTATATGTAAATCTTTCGTTAGGCATATATATAGTTGTTGATATCTCTAAGTTTTGTTTAGCAGCAGTTCACGTTAAGAGATCGCTTGAGAATCAATCAGGTTTAAATGATGTTGGCACAAACATACAGCACAACTGTCTATCATACATGATCAGACAAAACCCCAAAATACAAATTCACACTTACTCTAAATTTTATAACCTAAGAAAATATCAAAATCTTGATTTAAAAGCAAAAAAATCAATCAAATCCTGGCAGGCTTCTGCAGAACAGCCGAGAGATAAACCTCTACATCAGTTTTCTCTCCAACAACCCATTTCAACTTCTTATACCCAAACCGCTCTATCAAACGCGTAAGAACTCTCTTCTTCTCATCATTACCGCAATAGAAATTGTCTAACCAGAACAATCCACCGGGTTTCAAGATCCGATCAAGATCAAACATCAAGAACTCCAGCTTCTCGGGTTTATTACTAGCCGCTAAATCCAATCCGTTAGAAGCGTGAATGAGATCGAAAACATTGTCGTAGAACGGTAATCTCTGATCCAAACTCATGAACAACGGAAAAACCCCTCTCGCAGCTATGAATTCACTGAAAGGAGCATCTATATTCAATGTGTTACTGATTATATTCACATTCTTTTCAGCCATTCTAGCAGCAAATGTACCTGATCCACTGCTAATATCAAACCCGATTCGGATTTTCCCATCGCTTAAACCCAAAACATCATCTATCAAGAAATCAGTCTTCCCTTTAACCTTAACAAACCTGTCTTTCTCATGACTAGTAGCTAGATCAAAGCAACCAACACAATCCCGGCTCAGTTTCTTAGCTTTCAAGCATTCGAAACTTTTGCAGCCAAGACCGCTCCAGTTAACACTACTGTTACTAACTGGTCTCCACAAAGAATCAGGAAACCAAGCGAGACCCGTCTTCTGTACTGTTTTAGCCAAACAACGACGGCGTGGCAACGGTTCACAAGCACGGAGAATCAACTTCTGTGCTAGGCTCCAATCATCCGGACACTTTTCAAACACATTGTACGACATATACTGAGATAACAAATCTAGAGACATTTCACAGGAATGTCCAACAGATGCAACCATATGTGTGATACCAGTACGAGAATCTTTACCAAGAGGAAGCTGATGTTGTTGGAGGAAAAGTTTAAGCTCTTGTGGAACTTCTTGATGCGAAAGATCGAGAGATTCAAAACCAATCATTTGTTTCTCCATTAGAGAGAGTGTACGGTGGGACGAATCGATTTCTCTGAGGATGAGTGATAGATGTTGAGAAACCAAAGAGACATTGTTGGAATGAAGAGGATGTGGCGTGTGGGATTGGGACCGAGACGAGAAGGCGTATAATGCAAAGAGATTTGTAGTGACTATAGAGAAAAGCATAAGGAGGTTGATGGCGGAAGAAAAAAGCGTTGATCGCTTGAATCTTGCGCTTCCATCGCCAATCTTTAGCGATACGGATCCCATACTTCAATGTAGCTTATACTGCATCAATTCACAATTGTGTCATATTGTTGAACTTATTATTGGATCTGAAAATACAAATTGTATGATGTTAAGATAAGTTCTTCAATACCAAAGTAGAAATTCACAAACAAAATGGTGATTACATGAAACCAAAGAACAACATTAGGTTCAGAGAAATTCAAACAAAAACCCATTTGACAGTTATTTTCAGAAACAGATCAGGAAACCAAACCTTAAGGAATCAGTACATGTTTCCAAAATTCAATAATCGATGAACGAAACAATCATAAGAAGATGTCAATTTCTGGGATTTAGTAACGATTATCATCAGAACTTACCAAATTAAAAAAGAGAAATCACGATGAATATCACAAGCAATATGAGATTAATAGTTTCGAAAAACAAAGAAAGAAGAGAGACTTACGAGAGATCCAGAGACTTACTCTCTGATTCAGACGAAAGTGAAAAGCTACTGAGTGACGACGACTGAAGATCGCCGACAAACATATACAACGTAATTTATTATATTAGATTATTTCCCCATTCAAATTTATAAATGGGCTTTTTTTGGGTAAAATAATGGGCTTTGTGATCAAGATACATATTGTTTTTTTTTCTTAAAAAATAATCAGTCCACATTAGTACATTACATTGTCTTCTACATAAAGTTTTGTAGATTAATCAAACTGATCAATACTGATATGCAACAACATTTTGATAACTTTTCAATATTAAAGTAAGTTATTTTATACATTAAGATCAGACGATGAAATTACAATTGTTTTTCTTAGTGTACCATGAAAAATGATTTGAGATTATTTCCTCTAAATATATTTATATATAATTAAAATTGTATTTAATTTTTTTTGTCAAAAAATGCTTTGACGTCAAAATAAATAAATAAATAAATCTATATATATATATATAAAATGATATTTGATGTAATATTCAACATATTTGGTATTTTTATAAAGATTTCTTAGATTTTGGTTTTTTTTTTTCTTTCTTTATATCTTAATCATAAAATCCCAAACACTTTACATGATACACTAATTAAGATATTTGAAATCTAATACAATATAAAATTTTATGGTATAATTGCTACAAACGCTTCAGAGAGTGGAATAGTGGTAAGGTCTTACAAACGCACGATATCACCTCAAAGATAATGTATTGTTTACGGTAAAAAAATTTTAGATGATATATTTTGCTTATCGCTGAAAACTATGGTAGACCCAGCCAAAGTTTTCACTCGGTGTAAAAAAGCCGAATAAATGTTTTAGTGTGGAATTAAACCCTCTACCTCTTAGTTAATGTGGTGCAATCATAACCACAAGACCACTTGTATCAATAATTTCAATTGTTTGAATCAAAACTTTTATATTTTATCCGGTGCAGTTGCATCCCTCTCCACCAACGTGGGTCTGCTCGTAGCAGAAGAAATTTCAAACAATTTTTTTATTATATTATATGACAAAAAAACTTTATTTTAATTTGTTAAATAGATGTTTTACTTAAAGTAGTATCACAACAATATAAAGTTGATATAATATATGCTCATAATGATTATAATGTACATAAGTTGAACATTTGCTTTTTCAAAATTGTATATAAATTTTGATTTGAGAAATCATAGTATATTATACGATAGAGATGACACACATAATTAGAGATATTTATTTTGATTTTGAAAAGATTTGAAGAGACCGATGATGAAAAATGGATCGAATTGGTGGTGAAAGTTTTACCACAACGCATAACCGTAAAAAATTTAAGGTGGTGTGATAACAAGTTTTGTGAATTGAATTTTATTTTGATACATCTCACAACTGTTGAGGAGGAGTGCTAAATAATTGTTGCATCAATGATCTTATGGTTTATATGTAAAGAAATTCTTGTGAAAAACACTAGCTTTTGTGTAATGATAATAATATCATGTAGATATTATTTTCTTTAAAGACATAGAAGCTCTAATTTATATAATTATTTAAAAGTATATATTGATTTTAGTGAAAAGTTTTAATTATCAAAACACAGTTTTTTAGAGCAACTATCAAAACCCAAACAATGTTATTCCTTTAGAAAAATACTTGGGTTCACCCCTTCACTCTTTTTATTCAGCCAATCAAAATATGCCATCTAATAATTAAAAAAAAATCATATAATTATAAAATCTAATTTGCCACTAAAACGAAATTATCTATCGGTTTAGATTTATTAGAAAGGGTTATGTTTTAGATTTTATGATTAAACGAGGTTAAATATCGGTTTGGGTTTATAAACGGATTCATATTTTACAACTAAACGAGGTTAAATGTCAGTTTGGGTTTAGAAAGTACGATTAGGGTTTAGATTTTATGATTAAACGAGGTTAACTATCAGTTTGGATTTATAAACGGATTTAGATTTTACAATTAAATGAGGTTAAATGTCAGTTTGGGTTTAGAAAGTATGATTAGAGTTTAGATTTTTTTACGATTAAACGAGTCTAAATAGCGGTTTGGATTTACAAAGGAGAGGGGCCATGCCGGTACGACTGAATATGCGTTAGAAAGGTCAAGGGTTTAGATTGTAATTAAACGATATTATATATCGGTTTGAGTTTACAAAAGAGTAGTTAGGTTTTAGATTTAATAATTAAATAAGTTTAATTTTTTTTATTATGTGGCGAATTTTGATTTGTTAAAATAAAAGAGGGTGAATAAAAAGATTCACCCTAAGGGTGAACCCAATTATTGTTCTTTTCATTATGAGAAGTTTGTATGGATTGGTATTATTTTTAAGAAACTGCATATATTTCCTACCAAAAAACCATCAATCCATTGTTTCATTGTTTGAACTTATTTTTATGATCCAACACTTATCAAAAAGGTTATAACATTTGATAATTTCTAATATAAAAATCTGTTTGTTTTGTAATGTTTACATTTTGTAGTGTTTGAAAAAAGTGTGTATTATGTTATTATTGCTTAGTTGTAGAACTGTCTTGCTTTCAATCTTGGTGATGGATAGTGGATAAGGAAAATCATGAAAACAATATAAGCTTTAAGACATTGAAATGCGTAAAGAAATAATTGAATGGAACCCCTTTTATAATATTTTTACTGTAGATTTTCGTATAAAAAACTTAAATTTCAATATATATTCTTAAATTTAATAATATTGATGATATTATTAAGTTTTAATCATCAAATTTGAGGTTCGATTCCGAAAATTGTAGACTGAATAGTCCGTTGTAGTCTCGAGTATTAAAGATAAGACTATCCATCTAAATGTTGCGGAGAACTGCTCATTGTACAATTAGTCGTGCAATTGTTTACTATAATCTCAGTAGCATATGTTGGATATAGGCAGGGCCGTAACTGAGCACAGCCAGGTGAAACATTCGTGTTGGGCCCCCAAATTTTTAACGAGTAATATGTATAGATTTTGGGGCCCCCAAACAGTAAAAACAAAATTTATATATAGATTATGAGACCCCCAAACCGTAATTGTTTGTGGCCCCATAACTCGTAGGGCCGGCTCTGGATATAGGTATCAGATGGTGATTAAAGATTATCTTTGATCTCTTTTTTTGTGGTGATTCTAACAAAACCGATCCCTTTTTAATGCATTATTCAGACGACAAAAAAAGAGTTACTCAAACATAAAAAAAGTAGTTTACAGGTGAGATTGAGCCTTTCATGATTCAAAAGCTACATTGCCTCTAAGACCATCTCCAATGGTGCTTCAAATTTCACATTTTCCTTCATTTTAAAGATAAAAATGAATAAATCTTCTCCAATGGTGCTTCATTTTTACCTTCAAAATGAAGAAGTGAATAGTGTATCTTCATATTTGAAGGTATACTATTTATATCTTCATATTTTGAAGATGAACTTTTTATTTACAAAATGATCCTTTAAATTATAAGAAGTTTTTATTTTATACCAAACAAATTATTTATTTATATTTTATCCAATTAATTTATAAATTTCATTTTTTTATTTTATCCAATCAAATTAAAATGCAATGATAACTTCTATTAAATAGAAAAACAACAAAATATTCAATATAAAACTTAAAATACATAATTAATACCGATATTAATGATAAAATAAACATAACATAGCATAGAGTAACAACTTAATAATTTGGTAATGCGCTTCCAGATCTATTAAGATACTTAAAATATTGCTCAAATGTTTACTGTAGATAAAATTTGTTGAACTATTGGTTAACCATAAATAAATGGGGCAAAATTTATAAATTTAGAAAGTAAAGGGCATTGTTAATACTCCCTCCGTTTTCGAATAGTTGTCGTTTTAGAGCTTTTTTGTTTTAAATTAATTGTCGTTTTAAGGTAATAATGTAATTATGCCAATAACTACCCAAATTACCCTCATTTTATTGAACACAAATTATTTGTAAATAATTTACTTGTCATTTTTATGAGGTTAATATAGTCATTGTATATCTTTTCTTAATTTGTCAAAATAGAGTTAAAACGACAACTTTTCAAAAACAGAAGGAGTAATTTATAATGAAAGAACGATAGAATATACTTAGAATATTCTTTTTGAAGTAGAAAATGAAAGAAACCATTGAAAAAACTTTGCTTCATTTTTTCCTTCAATTTTGAAAAAATTTCAATTTTGAAGATATATTTGAAGATAACCATTGGAGATGCTCTAAAATACTTAAAAACTTGATAAGACATCTAAAAGATCGTCAATTATTCTTTACTAAAAATTAACTTAAAAGAAAAACTCAAAATTGCTATTTTGTTAGAAGATACTAAAATTTAACAGCACTAATCTGAAACCTAACCGAAGAAATCTGAGGAATCTAAGTAAAAAAAAAAAGCCATTTTTCAACAAGCTTTTTGTTGTCTAGCGAATGGCGTGAGAAGAACATCACTATATGGACGATTTTGCTTCACTTCCAAGTATCCTTTGGTCTTCAACACCTGCAAAATCAAATTCAGAGAGTTTCTCCATCTTAAAATCTTTCATGGAGACAGTAAAAAAGGTGAAGATATGAAATTGTGAAAATATTGGGACATACCAAAGTCTCGTAGAAGAGGCTTGCGCTTTCCTTCTGAGTTCTTCCTCTACAGAGCTGCAACAAACTCACCTTTTCTTCTTCTTCTCTTTCCCTCTGTTCCACAAACGTCTTTTCCAAAAATTTCGCCACATTCCTGTACAATCCAGCGTCAGAAAACAGGATAATTATCTGAATGTAAGCGAATCGAAGTTGTTGATACTGAAAGTGTAAGTCATTAACCTTGTTCTTGCTGACCATGTCTCTGCAAATCAAAACATACATGGTAAGGAGGCAACACGATGATCGATATGCAATAAAAAAACATTTCTATCTTAAAGCTACATATAATTTCAGAAAATCTTAATAGATTCTTTTCTATTAAATCAATAAAAGACCGAGTACTACATGAGATCAATTCTGAATTGTGGACAAGATCAGAATTCAGAATGCGTGTTACCTTGTTGCAAGTCGTGTGTTTCATCTGCATTCACCTGCTGAAGCAGAAACACAAAAAATAAATGCTCAGTCTTGTAATTAAATAGGATAGGCTAAAAGAACTATAAAAGCTTTTTTTTGCTACTGTCAGAATGATGCAACACAGCAGTACCTCGTCGTTCATTAAAATCATATCAAGATCTCTATTTTCCACATAATACACAGATGGATGCTCCTCAAAGGAAGTGAAGGGACTTGCAGGTCTCGATTTTTTATAACAGGTCTCAGGGTCCTTGAAAAATCTTTTCGACATTGATTCCCTCACTGGCGTTTCAGGTGCAATCTCTACTTGCTCGGAGACCACTGGTGTTTCTGGAGCAATCTCTGTTTGCTCTGATGTCCTCACGGGTGTTTCTGGAGCAATAACTGAAGGCTTCAAAGGTGTCTCTGCGGCATTTTCTGTTTGATGAGCAGTTCCAGAAGTTATAGAACTTGCTCCCATCTCAACCGAAACCATGTTACTATTTCCGGCTGTCACTTTCAGCCCAGCAAGAGCAGCAGCCTGAGGAGTCTCCATAATTTCTTGAGTATTCTCAGTCTGATCTGAAGATAAAATAACCCCAGGAGTTCTGACGGTGTCAAGAGAAGAATTTTCCTTACGTCTAGCGATTTTAGCATCTCTAGGAGTTCCTGTGGTTGCCCAGTTTTTAAGCTTGATGGGTTGACAAAAAAGCGACTGGAGGTCCGAAGAACCATCTGCAGGATTACAACAATCAGTAAACACAACAATACAATTCGATATACAGCGGATTATGAGGTTTTACTTACACTGAATCAAAGGTTCCAAGAAACTTCGAAAAGGATTGGCAAAGCGTTTGGTTCTCCTCTCAGGACAGTCAGTATGAGGTACGTTTCTCCGTTTTGCAAGCAATTTACTTGAGTCCTCTATCATTTCCTTCATAACTCTACAACAACAGAAGAACCAAATATTACACACTTGTACGGAACTCTGCAGACGAATATAATCCAGGTTACAAATAGTTCTCTTACTTGTTTGGAATTAGCACTTCATCATCTATCAGACATTTTCTTTTCCGTGAAACTCGAGAAGACTCCTTCGCAGCCGGTGTAGGGATGATCGAGAACTGAGGACTTGTTCCCCCTGTAATTCAAACTATAGATTAACACTATAAAACATAACTGAGTATATTAAGCTCATATTTCTATAAGGTGTGCACCTTCAGAGATTTTCACCCGCGAAGGTGTTTTGGGAGTGACAGCAACTGGAGTATTTGCTGCATTAAACCCTCTACTAGGGTCTTTTGAAACAGTCATGTCAGAGAGAAAACCTTTCTCGGAACCATGGAGATTCACTTCAGAAGTATCAGACTGCTCTTTATGAGACCCATGAAGCAACTCAAAGTTTCCCATTTCCGCTTCATTATGGTCTCGACATTTCTCTACGCATTCTGGCGAGTCTCTGGAACCAGTCACAGATACTGGTTCTGGTTCTTCTAGAGTACTCATCTCCGGGATCTCCTTCTCCCCATTAATTCTTGTGGCACCACAAAGTTGATCCTCAATCCTGTGAATCGCTTCAGGTCTTACGCATTCAGATGGGAGGGACCCTTCATGCTGCATTTCTTCGCAACTTGTTTTCTCCGATTCTAAATTCTCTATGTAACCATCTCTGCGTAGATTATCGCCTGAGGATTCATGAGGATCCACTAGTCTCTGCACAATAGTAGATATGGTTTCTCTAAATGTGTCTTCTTCTTGAGCTCTTCTGATATCTTCGGACATTTGCGGTTCCACAAGAATGTCATCTGATTCTGGATGCTCTCTATGCCTAGATGCATTTTGATGATCTCTGGACGATTCAGTAGAATCCAGTGGTTCCGCTTCAACGACTCTGACCGATGCTTCTTCAGTAGTATCTCTGACATTTTCTGCATCCATGTCCATATCATGAGCAAAACTCTCACTGCAACAACAATTATAAACACAGAAAGTTGGGATTGTGTTTGTCGATTACATGTATGGAACCAAAAAATATCATACTTACTGTTTATTTTCATTATGATTGGCAGAGAAAGTCTCATGAAACGTAAACAGAAGGTCCTCTTCCATGTCAAACTGCAACTCCACAAAGTATTAACTTTATTACATATATATTCACGAAATTACCGGAATGAAAAGAAATTGAATCAAGAAACAATGTCAATATACTCTGTAGTAGAACCTAACAGTTACACACTCAGTAGTCTATAAGGTGAGACATACCCTTTCCATTGAATACATGTCCATGCTCTCTGGTTCCTGACTTCCATCTGTTTCATCGCAGTGTAGAGGTATTAAGTACATGAACAGTGATGAGATTCACTTAAACGACTTTTGCAATAAAATACCTTTAAGTGTAATATCTTCATGCGGCTTAACATTTCCCCTGAGAAAGAAGAAACAAAAGGTGAGACTATGAAAGAATCTCTGCGAAATACATTCTGTAAATGAATAACAAGCATACCCATGAAAATCCTCCAGAATCCCAAGATCAAAAGCATCTAGTTCAAATCTCTCAGGCAAAGCAATGGAAAAACACTCGATAGATGCAGGCAATGAAACACCTGTCTTTTCTCTGTTCTTCTCCTTAGCCACAAACTCCTTAACACCGATCAACGCTTTGTTGCAATCATCAAACAAAAAGTCCACCTTCTTGGAATATATCCTTACAACACCCAGAAGAAGATACGCTAAAACTCTGTATGTCAACGCATCTAACTCTTTTTGCAAGATCTGATCTGTGCATCCAAAAGAAACCCAGAAGAATTATATACCATAAACGGCCACCAAGTAAAAAAGTTCAGAAAATGTCAAATGTTATAGAAAAAATCCATCTTTGTCGAGGCTGCAAGGACTTTAGAGATCAAGCAAACTAAGTGTTGACCAAAAATTCAGCAGCTTTCTGATACTATGTGAGTAAGATGAAATGTTTGGAGTTAAGTTTATATGAGGGTATGCAGATTGATACAAAGGATTCAATACTATTCAGACTTAAAATCACTGAACTTAATCTCTGAGGTTCATTGAGGCATTTTATCAAACAACTGATGAACATAAACAATTAACATTGAAAAAACCCCAAAAAATCTCTAATTGACGATTCCAATGGACACAAACGAAACCCTAAATTCCGATTCCAGGTAAAAGCTGCAAACTTTCACCCAATCAATCACTTTTCCAAGTCTAAACCTTAAAATCGCCGGAGAGAAATCTATTACTAGAACAGATAGAGGAAGAAGAAGAACAATGTGAAGGAGGAGACAAACCAACGGAAGAAGGAATATGAGTAGCTTTGACTTGAGCTTTCTTAAGCTTTTTGAAGAAATAGGCAGCGACCCAAATAGCTCCTAAAGGTCCTTTTCTCGATACGAGACATTGCGAGTAAAACATTTTTTGTCTTAAGGTTTCCCAGATTCTGGGTTTTAGACAAAGGTTAGTTTTTTTTTTGAGAGCAGAGAGAGTAAAAGCTTCGTAAATACTGAAGCGAGGGAGAGAAGAAATCGAGGAGAAGGAAAACGGTCAAGCGGTGTACGGAACAAGCTTCTTAATAAACCGATAAAACTCTTTTAAAAAAAAAAAAAATTTAATTGCTGATAAATTTATGATAAGTCATAAATTTAAATCATAAATTTAAATCTTCCTAATTAGACGGTGACCAGAAAATCACACCTTTTTAATTAAGGGAGACTCACAAAAATGCCCCTTTTTCAATACCCCTTTTCAAAAATGTTTCCTTTGGATGTCCATTTTTAAAAATACTCTTTTTATGTACAAAATGACTAAATTACCCTTCTTTTAATAAAAGATATCATAAATATATAAGGAAATATAACAAAATTAGGTCCACAAAATACAAAATATTTTTTAGCAGGAAAAGTGATCCCCCAATTTTTCCCGCCAAAACACTTGTAAAAATTTGTAAAACCTTTAAAATACCTTGTAAAATTTTCCCGTAAAATTTTTTCCCGCCAAAAAATTTTTTTTGCGGGAAAAGTGATTCCGCAAATTTTTTGGCGTTAAATTTTTGGCGGGAAAAATTTACAAGGTATTTTAAAGGGTTTTTACAGGGTATTTATAAGGTTTTACAATGTATTTTAAAAGGTTTTACAACGTATTTATAAAGTATTTATAAGATATTATAAGATTTTTCAAGCTATTTTATAAGGTTTTACAAGTTATAAGGTTTTACAAATTTTTTATAAGGTTTTACAAGTTATAAATACCTTATAAAACCTTATAAGTACCTTGTAAAACCTTTTAAAATACATTGTAAAACCTTACAAAACACTTGTAAATACTCCGTAAAACCTTTAAAATACCTTGTAAATTTTTTCCGCCAAAAATTTTCCCGCCAAAAAAATTTCGGAAAAAAAATTGCGGAATCACTTTTCCCGCAAAAAAAAATTTTTGGCGGGAAAATTTTTTGACGGGAAAAATTTTTACGGGAAAATTTTACAAGGTATTTTAAAGGTTTTTACAAGTGTTTTGGCGGGAAAATTGCGGGATCACTTTTCCCGCTAAAAAATATTTTGTATTTTGTGGACCTAATTTTGTTTTAAATAAGGGTAAAATGGTCATTAAAAATTAAAAAAGGGCAAACTTAAAAATGGACTCTCAAAAGGAGCATTTTTGAAAAGGAGTATTGAAAAAGGGGCATTTTTAACAATTTCTCTTTTAATTATGCATTTTTTTTTATATAGGTACTTAGTTTTCCTCTTTATTGAGTAATTTCTCTAAATTATTCATAAGAATATAAAAATAAATTTTGGTCAATATATTTGGATTTAACAAATATATATATATATATACAAGCTAGAATTTTGTAGATATGAGAAAAGGCATTGCTGTTAAAATTGATCAACAAAGCTAACAATTGAAATAGGCTAATGGTAGTTGAAAAAAAGAAGATTGTGTGATATGGAAAATATAAATACAGTAAAAGTCTTATTATATTTTACCTTTTCTAAATCCTACAGAAAAAGAAGTAAATAAATAACGGGAAAAATGTCGTTTTATCTCCCAACTTTCAAAAAGTGGCCAATCAATACGTCAACTTCATATGTGGCCATTTAAAACATAAAATAAACGTTGACTAACGTTTGAGACATGGAAATTCGTTGACCAGGCCAAAATAGACATGCCGTTATCAGTCGTTAACGGAACCTCTAACGCCCGTTATCACCCGTAACGACTCTGTTAATCAACTTTCAAATTATGGCCATTTTAAACATCAACTTTATATGTGGCCATTTAAAACATGAACTAATCGTTGACTAACATTTGAAACATGAGAATTCGTTGACCAGGCCAAAATAGACATGTCGTCATCATTCGTTAAAAAAACCTATAACATCCGTTATCACCCGTTAACGACTCTGTTAGTATATCCAAAACGACGTCGTTTTGAAAATAATCAAGAGAAAATCAGGACAAATTTTTTGTTTAAAGCATAATCCAAGGACATGGTTTGATATATAGACAATCGTAGAGCCAGTAATTGGAAGCAAACATTGTTTATATATTTGTTTTAAATCTAAAAAGGAATCATGGAAGCAAACTTGTAGACCCATCATAGGATTAAAATAGGCATGGGCGTTCGGATATTCGGGTCGGGTTCGGGTTGGGTTTTTTGGGTTTGGGTTTTTCGGGTTTAGAAAACTAAGATCCATTCGGGTATTTTAAAACTTCGGGTTTGGGTCGGGTTCGGATCGGGTATTTCGGGTTCGGATTCAGGTTTACCCAAAGTATCCAAATATTAGAAATTTTGTATCCGACCTATGCAAAGTATTGAAAAATAATCAAAAAATCTATAAAACCCAAATATTTTAACCCGAATCTAACCCAAAGTAGCTAAAACACCCGAATATAGGTTCAGTTAACGAATGATGACGACATGTCTACTAACAGTGTCGTTAACGGGTGATAACGGATGTTATAGGTTCAGTTAACGAATGATGACGACATGTCTACTTTGGCCTGGTCAACGAATTCTAATGTTTCAAATGTTAGTCAACGATTAGTTCATGTTTTGAATGGCCACATATGAAGTTGATGTTTAAAATGGCCACAATTTGAAAGTTGATTAACAGAGTCGTTACGGGTGATAACGGGCGTTAGAAGTTCCGTTAACGACTGATAACGGCATGTCTATTTTGGCCTGGTCAACGAAGTTCCATGTCTCATACGTTAGTCAACGTTTATTTCATGTTTTAAATGGCCACATATGAAGTTGACGTATTGATTGGCCACTTTTTGAAAGTTGGGAGATAAAACGACATTTTTCCCAATAAATAACATAATAGCACAGTAGAAGATAACGACTAGTTTGATGGAAATGTGAGCTGTGTCACTCCTTCACCCATCGCATCGTAAAGAGCGTTTTAACGTTTATTACCGCGCACAGTCACTTCGTGTAACACGTGTCTGGTTAAAAGTCTACGTGGCATTGAATTGACACCGACGTATCAAAGACCATTTATCCGACGTGGCATTGCCGTTGAAAATGGGCCTTAATAAATTATGTCCAATAAAGGTCTCAAAAATATCTCGATTAAACCCTTAAAAGTCCAATAAAGGCCCAATTAGTCACTCGGGTCCTGAAAACCCAAATCTCTCTCTTAGGGATTCCGATTCTTTCTGGAAGTAATGGCATTTTTAATTCAATGGGCCCTACAGGCCCAGTTTGATCCATTCTTATAAAAGTAATTGTCTGTCTTTTGATATTCCTTTCTTCTGACCCAAACCAGTAGTACAAACTTTTCTCTTTCGAAACTCTGATAAAAAGAAGAGCAGAGAAATTAGCTTAGTATATGGGTTTTCCTTTGTTAATTGGGTCACAAGAAACGAATATCAAAGATGAATGGCATTAATATTTTAACGAGCCCAAATAGGCCCAATACGATCCATCGACTAAATATATCAGACCCCACTAGGCATGTCAATCGGGCTAGCCCCGCCCGGCCCGGCCCGTAAAAATTCCGAGCCTAGATTTTGAAGCCCGGCCCGATCCTAACAGGGCTACAGGACTTTTACGGGCTTTTTTGGGCTTTTCTTTCTAGAAAAATAAACCCTTCTAATTTATAATATCTCTTGAATTTTTTTTTTTTTTATAAAACGAGTCAAACGAAACTTAAATAACTCACTAAAGTGAATCTAGTTTTAAAAAAGTTTAAAATCAAATAAATAATCCAAATAAATTGTTTAAACCCACACTATATAAAATATAAAATCATAACACTTATAGTAAGACACAATTAGAAAACTAGGTTTAGGGTTTTTAATTCTATTGAAAAAAATCTTTAAACAAATCTCTTAATTAAACAATAATATTACAAAAAAAAAAAGTTAAAATCTCTTTTTAAGGGTTTTTTGGGTCGGTCCGAGCCCGGCCGGCTAAGCCCTAAAAACCTTTTAGCCCAATGGACTTAGTCCGAAAAGTCCGATTTTTTTCTGGACATATTTTTAAGTTGGCCCGATATTTTTAAGGGGTGGGCCGAGCCAGCCCGCGGGCTTCGGCCCTAATTGACATGTCTAGACCCCACCCTAGTTCCCAAGAAATGTACGAGGAAGATGATGATGCGAAGCATGAATCCTCAGGTAAAACTCAACAACAACATCTTTTTCTGTGATTTTGTGATTTTAACATCACAATGAAATTAAAAAGGAACAAATTTGTTTTTTGCAGTTTCTACAGAGGTCGAGATCGCAGCGGATAGGTCTGTTACTGCTTCTCTCAAATACATTACAGAACCTGATCGATCATAATCTGTTTTTTTTTTTTTTTGTGTTCAATCAATTTTCTAGGTGACAGTTTTGTAGGATTTTGTGACTTCTGTCTTAAAGCTACACTATCCGCTGTCGGAGGAGGCGTTCTCGGTATATGATGATTATGTTTTTGTCTGTTTTTTTTTTTCGTTTTACAGATTTGTTAATCGGAGTCATGATCGGATTTTTTCTTTTTCTCCTTGTTCAGCTTATGTAACAGCAGACTCAGAGAGTGATCCGAAAGCTGAGAAGGTAAAGAGATGGGTAATTAATTTATATAAGCTCTCTTTTGACCATTTGCTTAAAAATGACATATATTCATCTTCTCATATGTTTCAGACTAAAACACAAATGTTTGTGATGGAAATTCTGAAAATAAGGGGATCCACAACCTTCCCCTGATTATTCCTTTTGTTTTTTTTTGGTTTGAACTATATATATGTATGTCAACTATAATAATAATAATTTGTTGTTTGAGTTGAAATTACTCTCTTCATTAGAGACTATAATGTGACATATCTATTTGTTTGTAAACCATCAAACCTTAAAGCTATGTTTATTATATTATCTTTGCGTAATTTGCCTGATATTGGTAATGTACCTGATTGAGCTTTGTTATTTTCTTCATCCATATATATATATACCTCACAATGCAGGTGATCAATTTTGGCCATTGGGAAGGAAACATGAACCTGTACCCTGCAACAGCTTTCCCCATAACTTGCTTGTTGTGTAGATGTCACATGTGCTTTGTTTTGTCAAGTTTCA